AAATTATTCTTCTGGCAAGCTGTCCTTTTAAAGAAAACAGTTAAAGAAGGGCTTTCCAACAATGCGTCTAAAGAGGCATTGTTGGAAATTTCCGTTAGTAGTTTGTTTTTATATTCGGCGAAGCACGCGAAAGCATTGACACCACGCACACGCAGGCACAGTTGCTATAATTTGTCGGTTCAGTGCACGACATCACATAGCTGCAATCGGCTCAGTGAGAACGTGTCTCAGACACTGAATTCAGGCCCAATTCAAAACATGACTCAGCAACTCTTGATTTGGAATGCGAGATCCTAGAATATTGTTTTCTTCGAATATACCGCATTCACTGAGCTGAAACGTCATCAGGTTAGTTATTCAACACCCATCTTTACATGTAGATTGTTCACTATTGTACATGTAGCTTTAAACGAACATTTATGCACAAATTACAAATGATGGATGCTACCTTTAAGAGTTAAATCAGGTTAGTTGTTATAGCACCCTTCTTTAGATTTTGAGCAATTTTGTCGCTTCAAATGAAAAAAAATGCTCAAATGACAACTCTACCTTTAAACTTTGCTACTTTTCTGCAGTTTGAGGCAGAAAGCAGAGCACTATCATAGCCTGGCTGGAGAACTCGTTTTGATTCTCATCACGATGTTCAGGGTCAATAGGGGACCCTTAAAAATGGTACGGGTCAGAGATACATGCGGCTCGGGAAAAATTTGTTGGTTATATCATTATTTTGTGTGGTTAAATTGTTTCACCAAATATCGTAATTAAAAGGGACCATTAAAAATTGTGCGGGTACGGGATATGTACATGTATGAGAAATAGGGAAAAACTGTCTGGTTATATTATGATTTGGTCATTATTTTGTGTGGTTAAATTGTTTCACCAAATATCGTAATTAAAAGGGACCATGAAAAATTGTGCGGGTACGGGATGTGTATGAGAAATAGGGAAAAACTATCTGGTTACACGTATATTATGATTTGGTGTGGTATTTCACCAACTCTTTACATTTTGATGTGAAATGCACTTTGCCCATCGTATGCAAGGTCAAACCCCCACGCAAATGGTGATTTAACAAGCGTTTTCAAGCGTTTTTGTATACACGTACCGTACGTGTATCATTTCTAATGTTAATTTTTTTATTTTTCTCTTTTAAAACAAAATCGAGCATCTACTGGTGATAATTAATCCGTAGTCCTTTGAAGCCATCAGAACAGTGTAGACAATCCATTACATGTTTCACTTCAGCGTGAGTGTCATTTCTAGAATACATGTAGCTGAAGAAACTGAAGAAACTGACGATCAAAGCTTTAAATTATCGTACCCGTACATGTCCTGTAAATTACAATGTATATAAATACATGTACCGTACATACATGTATATGCCGAAAATGGAAAGTGCACATTTGGAAGTGATATGTACATTACATGTATGTATAATGTACCTGTAGGTGTACTTATCCACTTGCGAAATCTTTGTCGCGCTTAAAGATAGAGTACAACACTTGTCGTTTGTGCATTTTGTTTGTTTGAAGCAACAAAAGTGCTCACAATCTAAAGAAGGGTGTTTAACAACTAACCTGATGAAGTTTCAGCTCAGTGAATGCTGTGTATATTGCGAGAAAACAATATTCTAGGATCTCGATTTCAATTCAAAATGTGCCGAGTCATGTTTTGAATTTCGCCTGAAATCAGCATCCATGCAGACACTTGCTCATTCAGTCGCTATATCGGTATGCGATGTCATGCACTGAAGTGACGAATATTTAGCAAATGCAGTCGCGTGTGCGTCGTGTCAACGCTTTCGCGCGCACCCCTTCACGGATTCGCTTTATTACAAACCAACTACTAACGGAAGTTTCCAAAAATGTGTCACTTGACTCATCTTTGGAAATGATCTTCTTTTTTCTCTTCAAAATGACAGCAAGCCAGAAGGATTCATTTCACAGGGAGTTTTAGTGCCATTTGCTTTCAACAATAAGTGGGTCAGTTACCGATACTTTTTGGATAGCTGCAAAAAAATCTACCGGTACTCTACCTTTAAAGGGAATGTACAAATTTGCTTTTGCTATAATTTTCCGAAATAAATGGATTTGGAGGAATAGTATGCTACGGTATATGCTATAGCAAATATTGTTACATTGGCTTGTTTCATGTTTGGGGTTCGTAGATGCTGGAAAAACAAAGAAAATCAATCATGTTCTTGCAGTCTGGTTCCCTGACCCCACTTAAGATGAGACAGAGCAATTTATTGACTTTGGGGAATTGTATGGTCAGGGAATCAGTCTAGCAGGCATGTACCCCTTCACAGGTGTGTAAGCAACTGCAAAGCAAATGAGGAATCATAATTATATAGGAAAAACAAGGAGCAGGTTTTGAAAAAAGCCAGTTTTCTCCAACGCTGGTCGGCCTTCCAGCGTTAAAAATTGATACAAAAATACCACTTTACTTTAAAATGACAGCACACCAGGTGCCATGATTTTAGGTTTTAGAGTGTCATTCCCTAACAGTCTACTGTAGTAAAGGATTTTGTGATATTTTGATCATTTTGTTTTTTGATGTTTGCAAACAACGTATCTTCCCTTTAATTGCACAGTGTCACCTATCTACATAATATTTGGAGTGTTACCGTGGCAGCTGTGTTAATAATACATTGTATTGGCAAATTTTCACACAATTGTGTATCCGATGATGACATCTTTTGCAGGACAGCAGTTTAATAATGCAAAGCACTTCACCAGGCATGACTCCTCGAGACACTGATAATACATGTATGTCTTGGAAGACATTAAAGTAAATATTTTCAAGGCGACATGCTCGCTCCTCGACTGATTAGGGACATCATTAACCCTGGCGGAGATAGACTTTGTTGCCAGATATGATGTTGCTAAAATTCTGGTGTGGATAAACGATAGGGATGATGTACAGATAAACATGAAACCGTATGTGCTTGTTAAAGGGAATATACAACATTTGCAAACATCGAAAAATAAAACTACCAAGTTTTTACGAAATACTTTACTAGGATGTTGGTAAATGACAGTATAAAGCATACTGTAAAATTATGGCACCTGGTGTGAAGTCATTTTCAAAAAAATAGTAAATTTGTATACATTTCCAACGGTGGTCGGCCGACCACCGTTGGAAAAACCTAGCTATTTTTCAACTACTGATCCAAATTTATCATTTTTTTTTCAGTCCAAATTTTGTTTGCTATTGGTTACATGTTCATGAACGGGTGCAGGCAGGCTAGACTGGTTCCCTCACCTAACAATTTTCCGGCATCTATAAATATTGATCTATTTCATCGTTAGTGGAGTCAGGGAACCAGACTGCTTGAACATTTTTGTTTTTCTTGGTTTTTCCAACCTTTTCGAACACCAAACTTCAAAAATGTCAGTGTAACAATATTTGATCTATTATACTAACCCCTCAAATAGTTCATTTCTGAAAATAACAGCAAAAGCCAATGATGTACATTCCCTTTAACCATGTTTTTAATATAATGATCATGTAATGAGAGTTTTTGTGAATGTAGAAAAGGAAATGCTCTAAATCAGAGTTTCTTTTATATAAAGTTCAGTGAAGCCCACTGACACAGGATTAAAAAAAATGAAAATTTGCCCTCCCGCAAAAAGAAAAACCTGTCCGGTATAATGTACCGTATATCAATCAAATGGAATATTTTTGCCAATTGTAATAGAGTTAAATTTTTAAAAAGAAGCAAAATCACACAAACACCAGTACAAATGTTCCTGGACTGAGAATTGTGTAAGAATATTCTTAAGCCTAGGCCAGTGTACATTAAAATGCTCCGTGCAATTTGTGTGTGTGTAGAGGTAGGTAGGCCTACACCGCGTTATGGGGAAGTTTTTTATTGTTAGGCAAATTAGGACCGAGTTATGGGGACTTTCTGCTGTCCCCATAGCATTTTCGGTCCCCACAAATACCTTGCACAGACGAGTGTAAGTCCCCACAATTACGGAACAAGAATTAATACATTTGTTTGTGCATTGTGATTGGATCGTACACTGTACAATGTACATGTAATTTACAAATTATACATGTATTCATCGACATGCATGCATGCCTGTAGGCTTTTACATGTTCTTACATGTTCAAAAGGATTACAAACGAAACGATAAGCTTTCGAGATGAAACCTCCATTCACAGGCAGGTATGGAAAAACGAAAAGAAAAGAAGGTTTCTGTTTCAGAAACCTTTTCACAAACATTCCCTCTTCATCGTGGTCCCCACGAACGGACGAAGAATGACCCATGATTCAATGCACCGAACAGAGATCACATAACATCAGAGTGTCAAAAGCCCACATTCAGTGCCCTTAAGCTAGAACCCCCCCCCCCCCAACTTGAAATGGCAATTTATTGTGCGGTGTAACATTTCAGTTTTATTGACGTCATTAAAGGCTTGCAGGTTGTGCTCAAATTACCTTTGATATTTACTTACGGGAATTCCGAAAACATATACCAGCTCTTCTTTTCCCAATGTCAAATTGCTGACCTTTTTACACAATGTGCGTGCATTTCAGTTGTCAGGTTGAAGGTGTAAGTGAAATCTCCCACACACACAAAATATTACCATCGGAAATATGTCTGTATTTAAGCAGCCCTCGTAAAAGCATCTGAAAGAATTTGCCCTTTTTGGTTTGTACCTTTTAACCCTCTCTAGTCGTCGGTTTTTATTGCCTTTTGTAATAAAAATATCAGAAATGAAAAGATTGCAGGTGCAAATATGATTCTGTAAGCCTACTTGAAGCTTTCAACCAAGAAATGTTTGCCGACTCTTTGAGTACATGTTGGATTTACATTTGTACGGGTTTTTATCTGATCTTTCAGACACAACGGTCAGGTTTCATTATAGGGTAGAATTCCAATCTCGTGGTGGTAATCTTCCCTTTTTTATCACAGCCATCTTGTCTGTTATGACTCTGTTCCTGGTTTTATATCTTGTCTCAACAATCTTTCTCCTTTTCTCCCCGGCAGAACGATGTAGCATCTCACATTACGACATCCTTCCCATCAGTATCTCAATCACCATCGCCCACGGGTCGCCGCTAGAAAAATGCAAAACGTCATGCCAAGGAATCTCAATCTGAGGAGTTGATGGGACCAGCGCGCGCGACGTGGAGCTGAGCGTTATGTCGTCCACCGACAAGAGGGGTCGCCATACTAGTGTGGAGGCGCCGTCGACCGTGTCCACCGTCACCAACAACAGCGAGCGGTCGTTGCCAAACGACAACACGGGCGAGGACGGCACGGCGCAGCCCGTCCGGCGATTAACGGCGTATGAGAAACTCACGGAAGATCTGAACAATGACCCCCGAGCACTCAAGGAGATTACGCTGGGGAAGCGCATCGCCTTTTACCGGATACGAGGGGAGCTTGGGAGCGGCAACTTCTCTCAGGTTAAGATGGGCATACATGCATTGACAAAAGGTGAGAACAGGGTCAAAGGTCAAGACAATTGCTCGTGAAGGTGAAGTATAAATTGGGTAAAGGAGTAAACATGTTCATGTACGTGTACATATCAGCAGGGTTAAGCTTAAAGCTACAGTCAATCATTTGTAATTTGTGCATGTTGTTCGTTTGAAGCAACAAAAGAGTTCAAAATCTAATGAAGGATACTGAGCAACTAACCTGATGAAGTTTCAGCTAAGCTTCAGCTGTACATTCCGAGAAAAACAGCATTCTAAGATCTCAATTTCAAATCAAAAGTTACTGAATCATGTTTTGAATTGTTTTGAATTGCAGCTATACGCGACGTAGCGCACTGATCCGACGAATTATAACAACCGCGCGCGTGTGCGTCGTTCCAATACTTGTGCGCGCTGCGCTGAATAACAAAACGAACTACTAATTTAAATTTTCCTACGGTGCTTCTTAAGAATCACCGTTGGAAATGCCTTCTTTCGTTAATTACTTCAAAATGACAGCTTCCCAGAAAGAATAATTTCACAGGGAGTTTAGTTCCCTTACTATCTTTCAACCAAGTTTGTTTTTCAACAATAATTACGCCGGTTACTTTTCGGATGGCTGCAAATGATGGACTATAGCTTTAAGTAATATATTCTCCCTGTTGGCGGGACAGATGTATCCCGGTGTTTTGGCACTGGCGCAGTGACATGACTTTGTATAAATCCCTCTGTGTCTTTTTGTTTTATTATAAAGTAGTTACCGGTACTTTTAACGTCGATTCAGTAATGCGCTTTTGATCATTTGTACGCAAAAGGCGCATTATAAATTTTAAATTATTAATAATTTATTTTATGTATTTCTCAAATCTAATACATCCATCATCTAGTAATTTTTAAGCGTGTATTTTTTTTGCTAGCACTTTTTTTCAAAATGGTACAATGGATACATGTACATGAAACTTTCACCAAATTATGTCAAAAATACCAGCCTGTAACTTACACTGTATCACACTTTTTTGATAATTGCTACATATTTTTTATATTTTTATAATTTGGGTCCAGATCATTCTGACTCACTACATGACTTTTTGCCAAACATTTCAATTCCAAGCATAATGTACATCTTATACGGGAAAAAAACTTTGTTCAGTATAATTTTGTGAACGTCCACGACACGACGTAACGGTACATACATGTACATAATGAACTGGGAAAAAAATTTCTTCCACATTTTTATGAATGCAACGGAAGTTACAACTTCTGAAACGGGAAAGCGACATTTTTTGATTTGCCAAATCATTGGCCTTTCATATTCACGACCACAAAAGCAGCTGTTATATACATGTACACCAAGTTAAATGAGGTGATTATCTGCAGAAAATCAATAGACACACGTGTACAAGCAGGTGCAAAAGAACGTCCAGAAATGCAGACCACGTCAAAGTTGCCCGTGTCGATACACAGTCTTCAAAATCAGGACGTAAAACAACCCGAGAATTTGCTCCATGTTGTAAGCGGCGTTGAACCTTAACCAACTTCAGACGTGACTAGCTCAGCTATATCCCGATCTCGTGGGGGAAAAAAAAAAGAGCAAATTAATATTGACTGCTCCACAATGAAAAAAAAAAAAAAAACGACCGCGGATATAAATTACAATTCCATATTTGCAAGGAGCAATCCAAACCATCCATCATCGTCAAAAAATTGTCGCGGATATGAGAATCCTATCTGGAGGGATCCTTTATATATCCAGATCTAATACCATCCATCAAGGTAATTACCAGTCGGTTCTGGGACAATCTTCTCTCATCCTCGGAGCTCTGGACAAATAAATCCTGAAAGTACGAGGGCCGGGCCGGAGTAAGGTTCGTTCCCTGTCATCTCTGCGGTTCTCCCCACTGCCTAATATAACATGAATGATGGACACATTATTTGTTTTCATAATGGGGGGTGGGGGGAGCTGCAGAGTTAATAAAACCTGGGTTTTTTTTTGTGTGAACCCTAATAAATGAGTCTTGCTGCATCAGTGCATGTTTATTCATGTGGAAAGAAGTTGTTATTCAGGTTTATCCGCAGCATCTGACACCTCAAAAACACATATCTACATGTACTTGATAAGTTTTAGACATATTTAAAGCCCGGTTCATACTTCATGCGAACGCGAATGCGAAGTGAATTTGACGTCATGAAACGTTCGCTGCGAAATTCGCCTGAGTTGAAATATGTTCAACTTTTACGAATTTGCAGCGCGAATACTTGCCATGACGTCACAAATTCGCATTCGCTTTTGCTTTTGCGCCGAGTATGAACCGGGCTTAACCCTCCTGCTATCTGAACAGTCACAGACAGTCACCAAATCAATCCTCTTCCCCTGCCATGCCTTTTAAACAGGCTACATGTAGTCACCAACAGTCACAGCATATTTCAAGCAAGCACTGTGACTAGTCAAATTCAGTCAACATACAAAAGCAGAGAAGTGGTAGACACAGCTGGCTTATCAATCACCTATGGTACAGTCAAAACGTAGCTGTATCAAGTTACATAAATTGTCACAGCCAGTCAATCCTGCTTTATGTAGGCGGGGATCTCTTAACTGTTGAAACCTGTCACTTGATTGATTTTGACTGAAAGGACAACTTGGAACAGAATATGTTTGCAGAGGAGGGTAAAGGATGCATACGTGGGTGATTCTTCACAAATTGAAACTAAATTAATTTCGAGGGAAAAATAGGGTTTTTTTATGTGATGTACTGTACATGTAATACAAATGATTATTGTTCACTAAAATGTTGCTGGTAAGTAAAGACACACGAAAGATGTTTCATAAGTTGGTCTTGCCGTGCATAAATTTCATTAATGTCACGCACGTGACCATTCAAAATGTCACACACGTGACCACAGAACAATTCCCATAAAGGTTGCATGCGGCGATCGACATGGAGTGTTTTGCAGTAAGTATTTTATAAGAGTCAAGGGCTTTAAAGGGAATATACAACATTTGCAAATATCAAAAAATAAAACTACCAAATCATTTTGAAATACCTTGCTGGACTGTTAGTGAATGACAGTGTAAAGCATCCTGTAAAATCATGGCACCTGGTATACTGTCATTTTCAAGAAAAGTGGTATTTTTGTATCAATTTCCAACGCTGGTCGGCCGACCAGCGTTGGAAAAAACTGGCTTTTTTTCTTCAAATACTGGTTCCAATTGACCATCGCACTTGTTTGCAATCGATTACACACCTATGAACGGGTACAAGCCAGCTAGACTGGTTCCTGGACCTTACAATTCCCCAATGTATGTAAACTGCTCTGTTTCTTCTTATATGGAGTCAAGGAACCAGACTACAGGAAAATGATTGTTTCTCTTTTTTTTTTTAAAAGCAAAAGCAAATGATGTATATTCCCTTTAACCTGCTAAAAGGATGTAAACAATGAACAGCCGTCGACAAAACAAAGTGGCACTTGACAATAAAACGCTGCTACTTGATGATAAAGTAACATCACAGTCGTGTGTGGGTGTGCGTCCTTTTTTTTGTTTATGAATATTCAAGGCAGCAAAAAGCTATTCGAATATTCAGTTGATGATTGAATATTCGGCATATTCGGGGCAGCCCTACAGATCTGACGTATCCAATCAAAATCCAGGTTGCCCATTGCATCTCTTAGGCCCCCTTTACACAGGGCTGTGACCTTTATACCACCTACCGGTATGAGCGATCGAAAAATGGCCAGGATGCTTAATGGTTGCCTAAACCCAGAAAATCCTGTTTCTACATTTACATGTATGTAACTGCTCCAGCCATCCTTGTGCCTCCCTTGAACCACCAAAACTCAAATTTTCTGGCATTTTCATGTCGAGCTACGAGCAACCTGTGCGTTCACTGAGCCACTTGCCTGCCTTCCCTGTGCTTCCGCTGTGCAACCTACCGGTACGGTAACCAACGCCGAATGGAGGCACAGCGGTCGCCACAGTCATCGTTCAATGCACGCTATTGGTCGGCCAAAGGAGGCACGAGGGAGGCAGAAGCATATCGCCCAGATTGACGGTAAAATTTGCAACAGAACGGATCTATTTACGTGGCGACCATTGGCCGACCATTGTGCATCCATTATGCAACCACGGCAATGCTTGTGCCTCCCTTCTGCCTCATTGGAGCCATCTTTGAGCAACCAACCTCCTCGGCCACCTTTGTGCGACTGTTTTGAACATGTTCAAAATTTATGGTGACCATGGCGTCCATGGCGATGTCTGAACATCCTGTGTACCACCTTTGAACAATCTAGGCAACTATTCGGCCTCCTTTGAGCCTCCATCGGTGACCTGGCCAGTTTTATGGTCGCACAAGGGAGGCCCAAAGGTTGCAGCCCTGTGTAAAGGGGGTCTAAGCCATTAAAACTTTTGACCAATCACGACCAGGGATTGATTGCATGATGTCATTGATGCATCTTGTGATTGGCCTAGCCAGGCTTTAACTCAGACAGGCTTTCAGAGAAAAATCCATTTGTCTATTTCCAAGGGCACTGAGGCAAACACAGGCAGCAATGGGAAATTGTTTCCAAGACGGCGTACATAAGGAGCTTATTACAATGTACATGTACCGGTATAAGCTACATTTACTGACAATGTATTCCTGGCTCCAATTTCATGGCTACGGAGCGGAGAAAATTGTGAAGCCGAGAAATTACTTGCTTGGCCAAAAAAAACCAGGTTACATGTACAATGCGTGATCTGATACACCGTGCCCTCTGGAGACATGCACACAATAGGGAACAAAAGATTGTATACATCTCCACAGGGCAATTTCTATAGATGAATACGTCTCCACAAGGTTTTCATATATTTTATATGAAATATTTTACTCAAAAACTAGGAATTTCCAAGGTATGTTGATTTGTCGCAAATGGTAGAGTTTTAGAAAAGGGATATTACATGTACGTAAGTCCGAATATCAGCCAAGGAAATTAATTCTGGTTAAAAAAAGAGCATTTTGAAACTGTACAAATGTTCTTTCAAACTCAAAAACTTTAGTGCACGAGAACAAAGAAATGTCTCCACAAGGATACCAATTTCAGTATGTGTACATGTACGTAAGAAAAGCTGTACACTGTGTAATTATGTATGCGTACTGTTCCTGCACAAGGGTCATATTATGTAAATTTCAGGTCCACTGTATCTGTCCCTGTTATGCCTGACATCTACATGTACATGTATGATTTTATAATTCTGGATGCACTTTTTAATAAAAGGGAATATACAACATTTGCAAACATCGAAAAATAAAACTTTTAAGTTTTTACGAAATACCTTACTAGGATGTTGGTAAATGACAGTCAAAAGCATCCTGTAAAATTATGGCTCCTGGTGTGAAGTCATTTTCAAGAAAATGGTATTTTTGTATACATTTCCAACAGTGGTCGGCCAACCACCTTTGGAAAAACCTAACTATTTTTCAACTACTGCTTCAAATTTACCTTTTTTTTTCAGTCCAAATTTTGTTTGCTATTGGTTACATGTGCATGAACGGGTGCAGGCCAGCTACACTGGTTCCCTTACCTTACAATTTTCTGGCATCTATAAATTGATCCATTTTATCCTTAGTGGAGTCAGGGAACCAGACTACTTGAACGTTTTTGTTTTTCTTGGTGTTTCCAGCATTTTCGAACACAAAACTTCAAACATGTCAGTGTAACAATATTTGACCTATTATACTAACCCCTCAAATAGTTCATTTTTGAAAATTACAGCAAAAGCCAATGATGCACATTAAGTCGCCCTCCAAGAGTGATTATGAATAGAAAACGACCTGTACATGTACAGTACCTATCTGACAAATAAAAATCATTCTTGTTGATACTTGAATGGCAAACTACAAAGTACATGTGCCAAGGTTAACAGGGACAGGAAAAATGCCACACTTTGGCATTTTTTACCCTAAATTTATAGAATGACCCATGAACTGTACTCCACAACATGTACATGCATGATATGCTGCATACATACATGTAGACTATAGTAACTGATTCGTTCCAAACACATCTGTTCACGTGTACATGTACACGTTAAGCACCGTCGCTATCAACATTTTCAATAATTGATAGGAAATCCAATATCGAGAGTATTCGATATGTCCATTATAAAAGAACATAAAGATGACACTGATTAAAAAAAACAATCTGAAGTCCCAATTTTCCACGGCTTTCTCTGGAGCATATTGCTTAAACTTTTTAAAACAAATCTCAGTATTGACATTTTATCCAGCTGTTATCCTTAGCTGTCAAGATAAAAATTTTTTTACATGTGCATATGCACATGTGCAAAATGTACATGTACTTGTACATGTATGTTCATGTTCATGCACGTGCATGCATACATGTACATGTACATGTTCATTTTCGGTGGTACATACAGATATGGGGAACCTTTCCCAGTGTCACTCTGCAGCAGCTTTTAAAGCAAAAGTCATAATTCTGTTTTGCTACATGTACATGTAGGTGTTGAGTGCACGGGGTGACGACCCTTAAGACTCGTTTAAGAACACAGGTGGTCTCGAGGTGTTTGCCCTGCAATATATGCATGCACTTTAATTATCCCGCAGCATGCATCGCGTCTCCTCAGCGAACTGTTACATGTAATTTCAGTGGCCCTGAAAATTGTGAAGTCCGCCGGGGATTTTGAAGATGAGCATCATATGAGCATCTCAGATGGCAGGTCAAGACTCACACTCTTCTCTGGTGTGCAATTAAGACAAGAAACAGGTGCCATCTGCCTAATGCATCCACGGTCTGGTATGCGTGAGAGCGGTGAAACCGATCAGAACCATCTGAATGAACTTTCCATTAGCCTGTCACCCTCATCCAAGCATGAACGCGGAATGGTTTTCCCGTTTGGTTTATTGGAAACGGCCGCTTTTGTTGGACCTGCCTGTAGCATGTTTTGAGGCCTCTATTCTTGTCGAGGCTTTCTCTGCCTTCTGGTTTTAGCGATCGTTACCACACTTTTCTTTGATAGCCGCTGCACGTTTTATCGAGTTTGGCCTGGATGGTTCACTGCAATCTTCACAGAGACACCTACTAGTGGTTAATGATGCAGTCTCATTGACAAGCCGGACACGGGGATGTACCGGTATAGGGGTGACAACAATAAGATCCCAATAAAGACAGGGCTGACTAAATGCTAGGAGCTTGACAATTATCATGCTTGTGTATCATCGGGGCTGTATTATAAGTGCGACGCCTTATAGGTCCGACGCCTCATAAATCCGAAATTTCGGACTTATGAGGCGTTGGACTTATGAGGCATACAATTTATTTATTCCGCCTCATAGGTCCGACGCCTCATAAGTCCGACGTCGGAAATAGGACATGTAGGAAGCGTATGAGGCGTCGGACCTATGAGGCGTCATACTTACCGGTATGAGGCGTCATACTTATGAGGCGTTGGACTTGTGAGGCGTCGGACCTACATGAGGCGTCGGACCTACATGTATGGGCCTTTATTTGGTTGGGCATGTTGGGAGATGCCATTTTGTTGGACTTACATGTACATGTATGAGGTGTCGGACCTATGAGGCGTCGGACGTATGAGCGGACCCCATACCATCAAGTCATAATGTTCATTGTACTCAAGTCATAATCATGGTAATCATGCTATTGGGGGGGGGGGCCTTGTCGATTCAAAGATTATCTTTATTAAATGACTTACATGTATGTACCACATGATATACATGTACAATTACTTGTGTATAGATGCTCCTTGTTAATTCGCCAGCTGTCTGAACAGTCACAGACAGTCAAAAAAAACAATCCTCTTCCCCTGCCATGCCTTTTACATTATAGGCTAGTCACCAACAGTCAGATCATATTTCAAGCAAGCCCTGCAAAAGCAGGCAAGTGGTAGGCACAGCTGGCTTAGGTGGGGATGACAGCCACCAGGATCCCAAAAGAAAGCCCACACTTAAACAAAGAAAGCCCACACTTTAACAAAGAAAGCCCACACTTTAGTCAAAGTGGTCTGGAGCATTGAATTTGTGGGCTGCGGGTAATTCTGCAGGTTTTGGGTTCGAGACCAGCCTGCGGCTATGGAACGTGTGCCCTTGGGCAAGGCACTTTGTCACTCATTGCTTCTCTCCACCCAGGTGTAAATGGGTACCTGTGAGGGCAGAGATGGTACATGTGTAATTGTAGTTGATTTTAGCTGCTTTGCACCAAAATGGCTGCGTCCAGTGTACATTTTGTATACTCCCTAGGGAGCTGCGATGGTATTTGGAATGTTTCATTGGCCCAATGAGCAGGGTAATAATGATGTAGCACCTTGAACACCAATAATTATCGATAAGTGCGCTTTATTCATAGAAATTTTATTATTATTTTATTATTTTTACAGTTCAGGTCTGTTGAGTATTTGAGGCAATGTTGTATGCCTTAGCAGGCTTGTGTTGCGTTTCTCAAACGCTGTCAGAAACACTGAAAAAAAAATTGAGCAAAGTTTGTGTAAAAAGTGTGATATTTCTGTTTCTTTTCCAGAGAAAGTAGCCATCAAGATTCTGGACAAGACCAAGCTGGACCAGAAGACCCAGCGCCTCCTGTCGCGGGAGATCTCCTGCATGGAGAAGCTGCACCACCCCAACATCATCCGTCTGTACGAGGTGATTGAGACCCTGGCCAAGCTGCATCTGGTCATGGAGTATGCCGCCGGCGGCGAACTCTTCACCAAGATCTCCAACGAGGGCAAGCTGAGCGAGGCGGAGTGCAAACCAATCTATGCTCAGGTGGTGGCCGCAGTCCATCATATGGTGAGTGGTTGTCAAGACAATTAGGCAGAACTAAGGTCAACTGTCAGATAAGACATCTGAGATCGGGCTGGGTGGCTGGTTTGGTAATGCACTGTCCCATTCACATCTAACTATAATTCCAGGAATCTCTGTGTGTGTTTTTTCATGGTGTAAATCGAGGACACGGTACACGGTTGGAAAACTTGTACAAAACCAATGAGAGGTGTTGCGAAAAAGTTAAAGTACAAACAAAGGAGAAGGGAAGAGGAACAATAGAAAATCCTTGATTTACACCATAAACAAACATGCTAGTGTGTGTGTCTGTCTGTCTGTACTTCGATTATCTCCAGAACTGGGCACTGTATGAAGTTGAAAATCGGCAGGGGTATTGCTCAGGACCCCAGAATGTGCAGTGTCAAGTTTGAAGTTGTTTGAATGAGCGGTTCTCTAAAAAGACCGCACCACAAACTGCTGCTTATGTTCAACGGGCGCTGCACTCTATACCGCACCACGTGTACGGGTACGGTTAACACACATGGAAATGGTGGCGTCGCGGTTGGCTGTGTGGGCTCGACCATTTCTTGAAGGGGGAAGATCCCGCAACGGTGAGGTGGGCCTTGATTGTTTTTTTGAAGGGGCGGATCACACAATGACAAGGTGTAGATATGGCGCGCTGTTATACGAGCACTGCACTCTGTACCGCCACTTTTGCGGGTAAACCGGAGGCCAAGCAATTTGTCCGTTCCAAACAAGCACATTTTGAACGGGCGTTAGTGAGAACAAAACAAAGAAAGCAGGCATGAATTTCCATTGAATGTATTTTGAAAATGGGAAAAAAGGTGGACTCAACATTTCCCCATCTCATGAATTTGGTAGTACCAAGTCTCGTGTTCTCTTCGGATAAGCTACCTACAGACTACTTCGGCGACCTTAATCGGAAGCCATGTTTTGAGATGGAACAACACTTACAAATACTGCAGTATACATGTATTCCCAATTTGTGAAACAGATGGCATTCACAAATCCACACAACACTGTTTCGATTGACCACTGAATCATTTTTTTACCGGAAAAGAGGGACATTGTTAACATAAAACTTAATTACTTGGAAAAATTGTCAGCCATCAAAAATAAACTGACCTGCTCTTCGTAACAACTTTAATTAAAATCGTCAATAAAGAGAGGAAATTGTCGGGGGCGATTCCCTGCACTGGACCACCTGCAAGAGCACCTGTTATCACATCAATTAAAGCCTGGTGTATGTATATCAAAGGATATCCAGCACTATCAGAATGTCATTGACGCACCTGCGTGACGCAACAGGAAAGAAACTACCGGTACAGGTGTCCAGACTGAAAGCCCTCAAGATAATTCAGTGATAGAGAATTCCGGGAACAATTCTGCATTCATGAAATTTAATTTGATGTTTTAATTGACTTTTAAAAAAAAAACTTGAACAAAGAAATTGACTGGAGGGGGGTTTGAACCAGCGACCTCCGGATAGCCATTTCCCTGCGCTCTACCAACTGAGCTATCCAGTCCTACATGTATGTTTAGCGGTACCACATTAAACCTGTATATGTTACATGTATGTAGCCAGGGATCTCAACCAATAACTCGAGCTACATGTAGCAACATAAGCAAAGCTTCAAACTGGGGAAATATAGCAAACGGGGATCAATCAAAGAGGACACAGTTTTTTTTTATTTTCAAAGTTGAATTTTCAAAGTTGAACGAAGAAATTGACTGGAGCGGGGTTTGAACTTTCAACCTCCGGATTGCCGTTCCAGTGCTCTACCAACTGAGCTATCCAGCCCTACGTTGGCAGTTTGCCATTTTGTCAAAGTCTTTGTTCAAGGGGCGCTAGTCAGAAGCCGTAAACCCATATTTGTCATGTAGCCAGGGATCGCACCCAAAGTCATGATGCCTGGCAGCAACATTAGCAATGCTGCAAAACTGGGAAATGGCAAACAGATATCACTCAAAGAGGATACAGCCTTTTTTTTTTTTTACAAATTTCAAAATAAATCACGAAGATAAACTGAATAAGTTGATTATAATAAAACAAATTTTAAAGTTGAACAACGAAATTGACTGGAGTAGGGTCTGAACCTGCAACCTCCGGATTGCCTTTGTGCAACTTATTATGAAAAAAATAATGGAATGCATCTACATGAACATGTAGTCAGTTTCCCTTGAATTTTGGGTAAAAATTGATAAGGTTTTTCTGGTTTATTACTGATTTTGTTTACTGTATTTTGAAGGAAGGGAACGTTATCAGTGATACAGTTGATGGGCTTTGTACTGTAGAAGAAGCAATTGGACTTGTGCAACATGTCTTTGTTATAGTTTGTCAGTTTTTATTTTTTTAAGCCCAGTCAAAAACAGCTTGCTTTTAGGCAGATTAGTAATCTTCAAAGGCCATCGGCGACTTGAGAGGGCCAGGTTATTTATAGCACTGCATGCAGTGTATGTATAAGAGGGTCTTGAAGATACCTCTTGATGTTCCCGGACAAAACTGGCCGATCTGAGTGGCCTACAAGAAGCTCCTTCTTGTTTTTTCTTCTTGAAAGTAAGCAAAAAGTCCCTTTAAGTTAGCAGTTGTCAATACATGTAGGATGTCTTTCCTGTTCACGTTCGCTTTTTTCCTGGAACGTCTTGCTTCTAAAACACTGACTAGTCTAGTCACGGACTCCCGTGTTTGTCTTGGCCCAATCAATAGACATGAGTGTGATTGACTGACCAGTGGATGGGGCTGAGAATTTTTTCAATTTGTTCTAGTCATCAATTTGCAATACTCGCAAAACAAAACACTTTTCAAATGATGCTTTGAGGGTTTTTTTTCTCAATTAAACTTTCTTTTTGCTCTTGATCAATTAACCCCAACCTGCAACCAGGAAACAAAATAATTTGAACAAAAATTCCTAAACAATGTACCTTGAAGTCGCGTATTCCCGTAAAATCTCGCCGTTTTTGAGGTCATTATGAGCATGCAATGCCCTTTTGAGGTAATATGGGACATTCATGTGCAGTGCACATGTTGTGCAGTACATGTACAAGTACATGTCGTTATGTACTTTGCGTGAGTGAAAATTTTGCAGAGGATTTGACGTCTTGGGGCTGTCTAATTTTGAATGATTTAGTATTCGATATGCAGAACTGTGTATCACCAAATATTTGATTATTCGAAGCTCTTTGATCAAGTTGCGTGCCGCGCCGGTCAAAAGTTGCACGCAAAGCGCGCTGGTAAAAATTTGCGTGTGGCGATCGATATATTATTATGGATCATATTATGGAAGTATTTTATAAACTTGTGTCAAGGGCATTAACCTGCTAAAAGGATGTGAACAATGTACCGTCATCGACAAAAAGTGGCATTTGACAAATAAAGCCCGGCAACTTTATGATTAAAATAACATCGTAGTCTCGTGTGCACTTGTGTAGACTCCCCCCCCCCCCCCCCCCCCCCCCCCCCCCCAATATTCAAAATGGCAAAAAGTTATTTGCATATTCGATTGATGATCGTTTATTCGGGACACCCCTATAATAATAATAATAATAATTTGGGAGGCTAATCATCCTTACTCGCAGCTAGGATGCTGAATTGTGAAGGACGCGGCTACAACGTCGTCGGGCCACTGGCACATAAAGGTGCCTCTGGCTGCCGGCCACATCGACCCATATAAGACCACGGAGCACAGCCTGAGATCGAAAGTGTTTGATTTTTCCAGAGGGAGGAAAACCGGAGGGCCCATGACCTAGAGACATTTTCAGTAAATGTCAACGGAGTAGAAATGTATTCGGCTTTCGGAATGTTTTTGTTACATTAATCAAAAGTTCATGTTAATGTTTGCTTTTACATGGAGCATGAGCTGACATTATGACTTGTAAGTTGTAGTTGTACAATGTACATACATGTACAAGCTGATCACGCAAGCTCGGTGCTTGAGTGGTAAGACATCTGCACTAGAAAGCAGGAGGTCGTGGGTTCGAGTCCAACACGAGTAATTTTGTTCAACATTAACTCGGGAGGTAACACACTGAGTATACAGTGTTTATACGTCGGTAAAGGGCAAAACCTACATGTACATGTAATATTGATTTACATCACCCCGACGCAAAATTCCATCTTATGAATAGTTGTACATACGTACGGTATTTATATACCCAACCGCATTACAGAAAAAATGTTTCTGGAAGAGCATGCATCCTGCATTGTACCGCAATCTTGTCACCTAGATACATGTATTTTTGAAATTTTGCTTTCACTAAACCATCCATTTTGTGTTGACAGTGCAGCTTTATGACACATTTGGGAGATCTTTACCAGATATTGGCCGGTAAACAATCCAAATGCCACTTTTGCGATTTGTAGTTGCTCGACCTGTTTCTCGGCATTGTGGGCGCGCCTGTGGCTGTGAAGTCTTACCGGTAATTCATTGGGATTCAGGGCACACACCGCGCCATACTCGGTAGTAAATATCTGATGGCAGCACTCAAATCCCCATTTACGTGTTTGCAATGCCAAGTGGCTTGAAAAACCTCCCTAATTAGATGTGTCTTGTATAGTGTATTTCATGTGACAATTGTTGGAGGCTGGACATGTACAATTTTGTCCGTACGTGTAGCTTCTCTGTTTACATGTACGCATGTAGAGGCTGTTTTGAGGTCTACACAGCAATAAGGTCTGCACAATTTTGATGTATCGGGTTGTCCAATAATAGGGGACGTTTTTGGAAAGACATCCAAAAAAGAAAGTTCTGAGCATGTTGGTCAATATGTAAAATTAGGGTCCAAAGTGTGACATTTTTCCTGTCCCTGTTTCTTTGGTACTTTTTAATGTGGGAAAGTACAATGTAGTACCCAGACTGTGCCACTTGAGCGGTTGTGTAGTTGTGGAGAGTTAAGACAATTTCCTGACAAAATTGGAAATGTTTCTCAGTCCCAGCTACTGTAAATGTAGATTTTTGTATTTATTGAGATGGTGTCCGAGGTTGCATTCTTTCCGTAAATTAATTCGC